GCCAAGGCAGTACCGAGGCGGAGAGCAGGCGGGGGTCCGGCCAGTACCGGGGGGGGGGGCGCCAGGGCGGCGCCGTGGCGGGGGGGGGAGGGGAAGGCCCCGGCGGTACCGTGGGGTGCGGGCTGTACCATCGCGGGGGAGGGGTGCAGCCAAGGGGGCCCGGGCGGTACCACCAGGGAGATGAGGCCCGGGCGGTACCATCGCGGGGGGGGGGCAGGCTGGGGCGGTACCATCGCGGGGGATCGTTCGGGGGGCCCGGCTCCCCACCTGTCACGGGCGCCCCGGGCTCCCTCGGCGGCCGCTGCTCATCCCGGTGCCGCCTCCCTCCCCGCGGGGCCCAGCTCCACCGCCGCGTCAGGCCCCACAGCACCCGCGCTCCCGGAAACCCCGCCCCCGGGCTCCAGGGCACCGGAAGCGGGGGGCGGGACGAGGCCCGCCCAGGGGCCGCACTGCGCAGAAACGGCGGGACAGGGCGCGCTGCGCATGCGGCCAAGCGGCATCGGCAGGCGGCGCCGCACTGCGCCTGCGCCGGGTTGGGGCCCAGTGCGCCTGCGCCGCGTCTCTCAGTCTACCACGTCCGCACGCTGGCAGCGCAGCAACCCTGGTGGGCGGGGCCCCCTGAGAGCCCCGCCCATCTGTCCGCTCCATAGATTTGCATAAATTTCCATAGAGCATAATTGAGTTTGGAGCAGCAAACAGTGAGGTGTTGGACTAATCGTAGGAACAGGAACCCCGGCGTCCGGGGGCCAGCAGAACCCCGGCGTCCGGGGAGCAGTCCCGGCCCCGGCCAGCTGCCAGCAGAACCCCGGCGTCCGGGGAGCAGTCCCGGCCCCCAGCCAGCAGTCCCGGCCCCCAGCCAGCTGCCAGCAGAACCCCGGCGTCCGGGGAGCAGGTCCCAGCCTCTGGCCAGCAGAACCCCGGCGTCCGGGGAGCAGGTCCCAGCCTCTGGCCAGCAGAACCCCGGCGTCCGGGGAGCAGGTCCCAGCCTCTGGCCAGCAGACCCCTGGCGTCCGGGGGGGGGAGCAGTCCCAGCCCCCGGCCAGCTGCCAGCAGAACCCCGGAGCCCAGGCCCCACCAGGCGCTAGTCCCACTCCCTCAGACACACATCCACACTGCAGCAGGGTGAGCCCAGCACAGACTGGTGCCCGCAGGACTCAGGCTGGTGTGCTAACAGGAGCCGTGTAGATGTTGCCACATGGGCTGTCAGTCTCAGGGAGGTGGGGGCACGAGAGCCATCAGCCCCACTGCATGAGGTTGTGGGGGGACTCCCCTCCCCCCCTGTGCAGACACCCAGAAAGAGAAGTTAGCACTGAAATCAGCCGAGGGGTCCAGGGTAGGAGCGGTTGCTATAGTCTATTTGCAACACACATCACACTTCTTGGGTAGCATCCTACACACTTTACAGCGTGTCTATTCCATACATCCCTTCCTCTCCCATCACCCCAACCCCAGGGGAGGGTGGGGCACAGCAGTTGCTTACCAGCACTGCTATGCTACCCCTTGGCACAGGAAGCAGAGACGGCAGTATCCCCCACGGGGGGGAAGAGAGGGGCAGAACTCAGCAACATTGTCGGTAAAGAGCTTGCTGAGTGAAAGCAGCACAGGGCGGGAAGGATGAAGCAACAGTAGTGAGGGCAGGTGGGTTAGACAGGTCAGACCAGCCGATCAGAAAGCTCCCTTCTGGCTGTGGGATCTGGCGAAGAGCAGGAGCAGGAAGACAAGTGTTAATTAAAACCCTCGGATTTTCTTTTGCCAGGTGACGGAGGAGAGACGAGCAAGACAACAGTGTCTCACGCAACGTTGTGGTAGTTTTGCCCCAGGGAGCACAGTCAATGGAAAAACCTATTCAATAAAGCACAACGCCCCCTGCAAAACTGCTCGGGGTAAAATGCTGTGAGTATCCTGGGCAGGAGGGAGCGGGTTAGTCTCTAGGCGCAAGAGCCGGACATCTCAACCTGGGCCTAGGACTCCGGTCCCTGCCCCGGATTTGCCATGACCCTTCCTTGGGCAGGTCACCGCTGCACTCTGGGTAGCAGTTTTATCTGTGAGAGGGGATAACATCCACCGCTGTGCAGCCCTTTTCACATGGAGGCTCTGGAGGTGCTGAGTAAGTTGACAGTGCCATCCCTAGCCGCAAAGGACCCCAGACCATGTATCTTCCTTTAAAAGCAAGTAGAGGGATTTCCGAGCAGCAGAGATCCATTAAAGGCCAAGGAGGGAGGCGAGGAGTATGTCTTTTCTTTATGCTTTATTGCAACAGCACGTCAAATCCTTGAAGAATAACGACACGTGCCTTGAGTGCATTATACAAATCTCTACTGCCTCTACGGCCGCTGACTACACAACGTAGCCGGTGCGCAGATTTCATTCTCCTCCTTAAAAAAAGTATTTTGCCTCAAACAGTCTAAAAACATTCAGAACACTAACCTTCCTTTCGAAAGCACGACCAAAACTCCCAGAAACGGGTTATGCCAACTTGCCTATTTTGTCTTGGGAGGGGAGGGGAGAGACACACCCAAACTTCCCTTTCTTGGATCCAATGACCCCATCCCCTCCCCTCAGAAACAGCCTCCTCATCTCCGTCCCACAGCTGAACACTTGAGTTTTAACCCCGTTATAAAGCCTCCGGAACCTGCAAAGCGGGCGTTTCACAAGAAAAGTTAGCACTTCAGAACAAACAGGAAGGCCAATACAGGCAACCACTTAAAAACAGATGATAAAATAGAAAAGCTAATGGGATGCAGTAAAGCCACAGCAAAAAATGCGACAGGATCTCCTTAAGGAGAAGGCCTACATCCAGAGACATTAAACCTCCTGTTTGGCTTAATAAAGAACAGTAGATAGAAGAAGGAAGAATTGTTGTTTGGATTGAGTCGGTTCTTCAGCCCAGTGCCTCAGCTGCAGCACCAATACAGAGACCTGAAACCGCACGACGACATGGCAGGCTAACTCCGCATTGGGTTTAGGGCAGAGGTGGTCTACAGTGACAACCACATTTAATCAGTTGGCAAGGAAGCCAACGGCAGCCACTCCTCTTTGCTCCGGTGCCACGTCCCGCAGACGCTCCCAGCCAAGACGGAGCATTGCCGGCTGGGACCTATCCAGCAGGTTACACTCTCTTTAGTAAGATAACCCACTTAGCACGGGCCTAGTGCTCTTTATCCGAATATCTTGCAGCACTCACCAACGGAGGGTGGAGGAGTGCGGCTGCATGCCATGCTCCAGGTCTGTGGGCTGCACGTGACCACCTTAGTCCGGTGCTCCAGCAGGGAACCTCTCTCGGCACCGCCAAGCTTTGTCTGTGAACTCCTAACAGCTGCCCAGCTAGCCTGACAGGCATTGACCCCTCTCCCCCACCCACAGTACCTACTTGGGAGGAGTAACCCCTTTTAGTGAGGGGAAGAGGAGCACAAACAGAGCCCTCTGAACTAGCCGGCCCACAGCCTGACAGCCCGTGACTCCCCACAGAACAGGACAAGCTGCCCCTGCCAGATGCTACCTTCTGCCCTAGAGTGGAGAGAGGAGCTTGCTGTCCAGGACTCAGTCCTCAGCCTCTCTGCACAGGCTTCCCCCAGGAGTGGCGGCACCAGCTGCCCCGGTGGTTCTTTGATACAGACACGTGTCCGCTCGGAACAGGGGCCACCACACAGCATGGGAGTGACCCTGGCTCCTGTCCCAGGCTGCATAATGGGCTAGTCTCCCTACACAAAAGAATGTACAGGAGTCCTGCCTTTTAGGAAGGGGAGCAAGGCCTGTTGCCTCCCCGTGGGACAGAGACGCTGAGAAGTAATCAAAGCCAGACATCTGCCTTTGTATTTGCACATGTGCAAAATGACTTCCCTGCTGAATCTCTGTGCTACTCAGAACCAAACCTCTCAGCACGAGGGTGCTGAAATCCTGTCAGGAGAGGGCAGTTACGCTGCCTCCTGGAAAGCAAGGCCAGGCTCTAGCCTCTGGGGGTGAGGCCGATTGACTCGGAGCTGGGAAATCCGAAGAGAAACTGGCCCTGTGCAGAACTGTGCTGCTTTTACACTTGAGGGCAACTGCCCAGACATCTGAACAAAGTATCTCCCCATCCCCCCCAAACAAAATATTTCTTCTTGAACTGACCAAACAAATCCAGGCCATGCATACTCTTAGCATGTTCCTGGCAGACTCTGGAGCTGCCCACGGACCTGTTCGAATCCATGCCACACTCTCAGGGTGCAAGGGCTGCACAGATCCGGGTGGAAACCCATGCCTGGAACACAAGTGTAATGCTGTACTGGGCAGGCAGGTGGAGTGACGCTAGCACAGGGACACGAGCAGGTGTGAGGACCGAAGGAGAAGAGACATCTCCCGTGGGTCTTAGATTAATACTCTTGGACTGACTACATTCAAACAGACGCCTGCGCAGTGTCCGGGAGCCCTTACGTTTGGTTTTATAGGTTGCTAGGAAACCCTCTTAGACTCAAGAGTTCCAGCAGTGTCCCCACTCCGTATTATCTCTGTACGGAGACCTCGAGACGCTACTTCCTAGATACAGGCAAGAACCTGCAGAGGGAAAAAGATAGAAAAAAAGAATAGAAAAAAGCTTTCAGTGCACTTTAGCGCTGGTGAAAGGCGCTTGGACGACAGCCTGGGAGAGGAAAGCCCTCCGTTAGCCAGAGCCCAGGCTTCTGCCGTGTCGCAGCCCCACTGCGGGGAGTAGGGGCGTAGTCTCCAGGACCCATTCTCGCCTGGTCTTCTCTGCTGAGGCCTCCAGACAAGGGGGTGCACAACTCACACCAATTGTGATGGTTCTGTTTTGATGTTGGCAGCCACCATGCAAGAATCCCAACTCATTTCACACAGCGGCTTGTGCCCGTTGAGTTTAATGGTAAGGAATGAACCAGGAGCAGAGCACACGCACACTCCACTCAAGCCGAGTTGGGTCTAGGCCAGGCGCCCCGATCCTGCCGAAGGAGACAGAGACGGGTCTCTGGGAATCCCCCACACAGGGTTTCATGCACGTAAAGAGAGTGATAACAACGCAGACAAAGTGGTTTGGACACTAGCGGCTACAGAACCAAACCTTCCAGGCGCTGTTCACCAATCAGTTTGCCTTTTTGCCCAGTCTTTTAAAGACACTAACAGTCCCTGTATTGTCCATCTGAGCGCTATAGATCTCGCTGGTGCTGCTTACCTTAGCGCTACCCAAAGTCCTCTTTAGAGTGACCCTGAACTGCGGTTCAGCTTTGTTCTTCGTGCTGGTGACGCTGCTGTCCTGGGCCTCGGTGGGCAGGGCGGGCTTGCCCAGTCTCTGGATGACGCTGACTTTGGACGCTGATTCCGGCTTCTTTTCCTTCACCGCCAGGCCGGAGCTCTTATTGCCAAGTCGGCGAATGGTCGTCACAGCTGGTTTTGCCTCCGAGCTCGTGGCTTTTGCTTTGATGGTTACTCCTG